GAAATAGAAAATAAAAAAGGAAAAGGTTATATAAATCTACACCACGAAGATGCCATAAAACCAGCTTTTTAAAGTGAGACAGATTGTATGAGTGTGGAAACACAGAAGAAGGCAGAGTATTCCGCAGTTTGGCTGTGAGGAAAGGATGTACTGTACTATAACGGGTTATTCTAGTGTGACCGACATCCACAGAGAAATGGTGAGCACCGCGGGCAAGACGTGTGTTACGAACCCACGGCTTTGCCGACGGTACACAAGATGCCAAGTCCACCGAACATTGCCCGTTAAAGTACCTGTAAGGGAGAGAGAGTGAAGCAATATTGCGGCGAAGAGAAAGGGAAGAAATATTGTCAACTAAAGGAGGAGAGTTAATAGGACGAAATGCCTTTGATTCCACCCTATTTAACAGTTGGACAGAAGAAGAGGCACCCCAGATATGAGAGCAGTACTCCAAGTTAGGACGAAGGAATCCCTAATAAACTTCACCACCTGATTAAACAACCGACGGTATAATGAAACTTATTAATATTATAACCTATCGAAAAAGAATCGCTGAGTCAAATGATGCAGGGGGGTCTGGTTATCAACGTCTATTGTTATCTTAAGTCTGGTTATCAACGTCTATTTTTATCTTAAGTGTGGTTATCAACGTCTATTGTTATCTTAAGTCTGGTTATCAACGTCTATTGTTATCTTAAGTCTGGTTATCAACATCTATTGTTATCTTAAGTCTGATTATAAATGTCTATTGTTATCTTAAGTCTGGTTATGAATGTCTATTGTTATCTTAAGTCTGGTTATCAACGTCTATTTTTATCTTAAGTCTGGTTATGAATGTCTAATGTTATCTTAAGTCTGGTTATCAACGTCTATTTTTATCTTAAGTCTGGTTATGAATGTCTATTGTTATCTTAAGTCTGGTTATCAACGTCTATTGTTATCTTAAGTCTGGTTATAAATGTCTATTTTTATCTTAAATCTGGTTATTAATGTCTATTGTTATCTTAAGTCTGGGTATAAATGTATATTGTTATCTAAAGTCTGGGTATCAACGTCTATTGTTATTTTGTCTGGTTATAAATGTCTATTGTTATCTTAAGTCTGAATCAGCGTTTATTGTTATTTATAAGTCTGGTTATCAACGTCTATTGTTATCTTAAGTCTGGTAAGTGAGCGTGTATTGTTACCTTAAATTTGGTTATAAAGTCTATTTTTCCAATCTTAATTTCAAACCTTTGATGACTTAAGTTATCTTAAGAATACCTGCTTAAAGACATCATTTGCATAAGTGCAATAATCCATTACTTTTATAACATCAATACATTCACTTCATCTGCGATTAAAAGACTCCAATTGTTAAGTGTAGTAATATACACAACACAAATACGAGTCCTTACAAAACGATCATTAAAACGGTAAAGTTATCTCATATGTGTTCCTCGTGACAGTCATATATAACATTAGTATCAATAAAACAGTTCAGGGAATTTTTATTAACATTTGTAATTCATAATCAAGATACAAAGGAATCAGCAGCCAGTGTCTAATCTCTGATCATAATTCCTTGGAGATGTTTTGTATTTCTTAAACTTCAGTTGATAAGAAGAATTAAGTACTGTATCTAATATTCTAATATGAACGATATATTGGGTGTATTTATCAACTTACTTAAAGAGAAACAAAATCTGATGTTGGGTGTTTTTGAGTTGCCATAAACTCTTCACAAACCTATAGAATATTCTGAAGTATGGCAAATATTACTGATTTAGTCTCGAGAACGTATACACGTAAGTACTTGGCTATACATCATGAGAATAACATTAACATAGTTGTTATCTAAGACTTTAAATGAAGAATTACCTTGAAGATTATCCCATACAAGAATTTAAAACATGTCTTTAAAAATGACACTTCCCCTAACCCAAGAGTGGATGCAGTGTCACTAAATTGACTTACACTAGCAATGCACCTAACCAATAGCCTCAAGCAAGAACGCGTTATAATGCATATCCATATCAAAACACAAGCTAAAAAATATAAAAAATAAAAATTATTAATTGTTAGCCAAATTTATTATGGATGGGAAGTATTACTGTTATATCCTCCGGAGCTTTGGTGAGGAGGATAGAATAGTATAGCCTTGCTATGCTTTTTTTTTAGCAAATGAATAAATTCTCCATGAAATGAGTAGACAATAAGCGACTCGAATGTGTTGGAACATTGTGGCAAGGTTCGGTCTTCCACCACGATGTCCATATTATTGTCTTTAATGAAATCTCATCAATCTTCTGTTACATTTCATTGGCGATTAGAGTTGGAGGAGACGGGAAGCGACAGTCCGCTTTAGAGGTGTGTAACAGATTAGTCCATGTAGGGAAGAGACAATCTGCCTGATGCCAATAGTGGTGGTGGCCAACTTCATCCCTTATAGTGTGTCAAGGAAATATTCCAACAGTAAACATTGGCGTGTAGTTGACGTAACACACAGGACATATTATTTTACCTATAATTATCCTAATCTTGAACTTCTATTGATAATTTAATTATCAATTGCCTCTGCTCGTCCTCCGAAGGAAAAGGACAAACTTACAGTTTTTCTTGTTAGAGTAATGTTTTTAACAAAGAGATGTCGTAGGAAAACGCTGTGTAAAAAGGTGCTGATTTTCTCTCCAGTTCTATTGTTGAGGTTGTCTGTAAACGCCCATGAAGAGAATGTTGTCTAGGTTATTGTCGTGGATGCAAAACAGGAAGGGTCGGTCACACTTGAACACTCGAGGAGGAGGTGGTATGGAAGTGATGCTGAGACCGATTATAATCGCTGTTACAGCAGCAGCTTCAGCGCCTTCCTCGTTTACCTTCACCACGGCCTTGTGGATCGCATCTGTCGCCAGCAACTTGCCCTCACGATCAAATTTGCTCAGGTTAGCTTGTTGGGTGAAAAGGTCTTCAATACCCAAACGTTGGAGAGCCTGTGAGAAAGATGAGATGTTTGTTCAGCAATAACAGACAACGGAAAGACAACAACAGCTCAGAAGAACGACGAAGGAGAGTTTAATTTTGATTCCTTTGAATCGTAAGCAATTTTTGGCTCAAGATCTTGGCTGGGGTTCTAATAACAGAGAATAAGTGGAGAATGAGAGTTAGAATCTTGGAATACATTAATGTATAAATCACTAACAACATTGACAACGTTGTCTTATGAAATTTATCAATTTGTCGTTACGCTTCACTGTTAGCAAATTTCGTAAAGACAGGAAGTGGCGGTCGGTTTTAAGAGAAGTGGACCAAATTGGTCTACGTACAGCTAGATGCTTATAAACGTAGTGGCGGGTTACATTTACTCCGAACCTTCATATTACCGCACCATTTTCCATATTGATGTCTTTTGTTCCTTGTGATGGACTTGCTGGTGGAGGAGGATAAAATACCCAAAACTATATCTTTTCAACGAAGTAATTTGAGTAATACAATTCACAGAGTTTAGTGAATCTGCTGGTGATGAATTCGGTCTAGTTCTGTGGCTGCCTGTAAACACCCATGAAAAGATTGTTGATTGTGTTGTTGTCAAGGATGAAAAACAGGAAGGGCCGGTCACATGTGAAAACTTCAAACTGTGATTTATCTGATATAATTCTATCGGTCAGAAAAACTGTTACAGCAGCAGCCTCGGCGCCCTCTTCGTTTACTTCCACCATAGCCTTATGGATTCCTTGCCTTAGCACCAAGTTCCTAGTTTCGTCATAGTTCGACATGTCAGCAGTGGAGGAGAACAAGTCTGTGATTCCTAGACGCTGGAGAGCCTGTGAGGAAGATGAGAAGATCAACACACAACAGGTGGCGAATCCCCAGACACGGAAGAGTATGCAGGGAAAATGAGAAGATAATCTATTACATAA